CTGAATCCCATGGACTGTAACTCGTTCCAAAATGCACGTAATTTCATGACCTGGGGAGCTCCACAAAACAGCCTCACAAACCACACCCTATTTTGCAATGAGACACCCACAACTCACTTCCCTATGAGTTATTTTATTTTCCAGAGTCCAAGCTGAAACCAGACATCACTGGAGTGCTTTATTCACCCCTGACTCACTAAGGTAAAGGTATCAGTGCCCAAAGAGAGCACTGAAACTTCCTCTGACACGCACAGCACATGCCAGCCAGCCCTGCTTACGAAGCTTGTGCACTGAGCCATCCCTTAGAGAAGCAGCACACCAACCTGGGAGGTAGGAAAGTGGGATCAATCCCTGGCTGAGCTACAGCCTTGTTCTGAGTCCTGTAGCCAGCCTCTGGATCTTGGCCTGGGACGGCTAAGAACAGCAGTGACATTTTTGGCTGGGAAAGCAGAGCTGAGCAAACTGACATGAGGATTACTGGCTACACTCTGGTTCCACCCTTCCAGGCCCCATCTGCCCACTGAAATTTGGCAGCAAAGCAAGCAGAAGTTTCTTTATTGTTTTGTGTAAGATTTCAGCCACCCCTCCTGCTCACTTGCTTCCTCACACACTGGGCTCCAGATAAAAACAGCTTCATCCAAAGAGAAAGCATAGGTATGTAAAGGAATGTTGCACAGAGAGGTCTGCCCCAAGTTTTGCTCACTCCTAGGACTTCCAAGTTTAGATCTAGTGAAGGAAATTGCAGTTTGTAGGTCTCAATCTAACATTTAATGAAGACTTCGTTGTTTTTATTAATACAGCCAGCTTCTGCCTAGGTCTGGTACCTCTGTTAAGCACCTTTTTTTTCCCCCCCATGGCTGGGCAGGAGAACCTTTGGGGCACTGTCCCTGGTCCCAGACCTGCAGCAGGCCCTAACACCTGCCTTTCTGGTTCAGCTCTTTAGTTTTCCACATTATCTGAAGTTCTACTTGCAGGCAGGTTTGTTCCCCTCTGCACCTTTTCTTGTTCCCTGCAGTCTGTGAGATGGGAGATTTTAAACACAGGCTGGATGGAAGACTCCAATCTGCTATGGATTTGTCCTCATCAATTGGATCTTTTGCTCTGGAGGACTTTCACAGGTTCCTTTTTGACAGATACTGAGCTGACACTTCCAAGCCTCTGTGTCCAAGGCGTCTCCAAGGCTTCTCCCAGCTTGACAGAAAGCTCACCACAGCTTGGGTCACTGCCCTCTGCCTTTCTCTGTGGTTGTCTTGGAAAGTTTCCTTACTCCACCTCCCATCAAACACTGAGAAGCTGTTCTGCAACTTCTCCTGGTTTTACCTGAGGTTGTGCTGAATAATTCCATACATCAGCAAAGTCAGCTTGTTGTTCATATCTTTTCCAGATCACCTGAGTATGCTGAAACCCCCAGAGTCCTGCAGGGAGCTCAGCACTTCCCTCCCTTGGCACAACTTACTGCTTCCTCCTGTCTCCCTGCAGGAAAGAGTCTGCCCTTCACAAAGCTGAATTAATTGGAAAGCTTCTTGGACTTTGTAGAAGTCAGCAATACATTAATTCAAAGGGATTCAGCCAGTCAAGAGATGAGACTCCCTTGCGAAAGCACAACCCAAACTTTCTATTATATTTAATGAGATGTTATTTGCTAATTTGACTGCTGGTTTCAGCCAGTTTGACCAGCACAGAAATCTCATTTACTGGTGTGGGATTTGTACACTGGTTTTCCCGTGCCCTTCTGAGGCTCGATGGGACACTGGCCATGAACCACTCAGGTACGAAGGTCAATTTAAGCAATAGGAGATTAGGTAATTTGTAAAGCCAGTCAGTCATGAAACAATGTCTGAGTGTGGAAATTTTTCACCTTTTACATGTCTTATTGCATGCATATCTCACCCCAGGAAAAAGTGTGAGAACATTCCCAATTTTAAGAGCTAAGAATGCGACAGGTAATTCACGCAGGGATTTTTACACTCTGACCATATCTGTCTGAAGTACTCATTTTAGAGCCTAAGCACCCCTGATTCCCGGAGTCATTCTCCTTGGCAGCACACCATTGCTGAGGCTGCCTCTGAAGTTTTTTGTTAGTTCCTTTGAAGTTCCTTCAGCAAGTTATTCCGCTCCCATCTTTTTTTATACTCCCTTGTGATGGTTTTACATTTAACAATCTCCTATTTGTGGTTTTATGTCTAACATGTCACGCTTGCTCTCTGTTTTATTTTCCCTCCCTAAATATGAATCGCATCCTTTGAAGACCGTCTCTTCACTTCTGATGCCTCTTTTCCCTTCCTGTTTTATTACAGAACTTTTTGAGGGTCTGTGGATTGGTTGCCTTCCTCTCAGGTTCTGGCATCACCTTCACATGTTTTAACCCTTTCCAGCACTGGTGGGACAGCAGTAATATTGTTTTCTTCTCGTATCAAAGTATCAGTGCATAGAGTGCCCTGGACTTTGGAGTGCTCCATGAAGAGGGAGAAGACCTTCCTGCTCTGAGTTTTAATAGCTCCAAGCCTGTGCAGTGTTCTATGTGGGCATCTCCTCTGGCCTTTGGAGCAAGGCAGCAGGGCCAGCTCCCCCTGCACTCCCCCCCAGCCCTGTACCTTGCACCAGGAGAGGTGGTCTTGGACGCTGTCGATGGAGAGCGCGATCATCTTCACGTTGCGCTTGCTGAACTCGGCCGCCAGCTTGGCCGCCCGGCCCAGCTCTGTGGTGCACACAGGGGTGAAGTCCCGCGGGTGGGAGAAGAGGATGCCCCATCTGGAAGGAGAGAGCAGGAGTTGGTGTTGGGGTGAGATGTTGGTTTGGTTTGTGCCACAGACAAAGACCTGTACAGGTTGCACGGCACGGAGACCAATGCAGGAACAGCCTGTCTCTGTGGTGAGTGGAAATCCTGTCCTGGGAACTTTGCCTTCCCTATCACTAGAAGCCTTCATGAGATAAGCTCTGCTCATCATGCTCTGAGAAACTCACTGCACCCTGCTCCTCTCCTCCCAGGATCCCACAGGGGGTGCTGGAAGAGATCAGGGCTCTTGGTGTGGAGACGGACACCATGCCACGTGTACCCTGCACTCCAGAGATGTAGATGCCAACCTGCCAGCCACGTTATTGCAGAGATGATCACTGATTCACAAGGCTGGTCAGTACCCTGGATACCTCACCCAGCACTGTGAGGAGATCCACTCAGGTATGTCACGCAACTCAAAAGAATGTGACAACACAAAACCTTAAACCAACCACTGCTGTGAGCTGCTAAATGCACTTAATTGAAAAATAAGACTTAATCAACTAACAGTGGAGGCCAGAAAGTCAACATCACATTGTGGCTACTGTAACAATGATAGTGCCACCTCGCTTTTGCCCAGTGCTTGCTACCAATGGATTTTGAGTCTTTAGAGCAGGCAAATAGTAGTCTTACACTTTATAGTAAGGTAACCAGTACACAGAGAAAGGCAGCAGTGGAGCCCAGCAGCAAGATGGGCTGTAGCAAAAAGGCTCCCAGCTGTCAGGACTTTCCAGAGGCTAATGCAAAGCCACCGCCAGCACTTCAAATTCCCTGCTAGGGACTTGTTGCACCATTTCTCAGCTCAGCACTCACAGATCTCACTGCACTGTGCTTCACCTGGCCCCCAGCGATCAGTGAATACAGCCACACACCACAGCAGCTGGGGAATGCCCTGTACGAAGAGATTTGGGAATGGCACTGGAAGGATCAAGTGAGGCACCTGCAACTCTGCCAAAGCCATGGATCACCAGGAAGTTACGGGGCAGCCACCCTGCCACGAGTCTGCCTACACAGTAAGTACACTCCTTGAATACACAGCAGCAAACAACCAAGGGGAAGCTGTTCAAGAAAGGTGCCACGTGGGTGACCAGGCTGGAACAGCCAGTCTTGGGAGCCCTGCAGCTCAGAGGGTTCCTTTTTTCCCCGTTTACCCAAGTTCACAATGCGGACAAGAAGGGGACTCAAACACCGATTCAAGCCTGCCAAGCGTTGCCGGGAGTGAGTCCCAAACACTCTGTGCCTGTGTCAAAAAATGGAGCGACAGGCTTTGCGGGACACGGTGCCGCAGGAGCCCGTGTGCCCTTCGCCGGGATACCCACGGCGAGCTCCCCGGGCCGGGGATGCGGCTCCGCGAGAGGGAAAACCCCACAGTTCTGGAGCGAGCCCACGGAACTGTGCCGCCGGGCCCTCGCGCGCAGAATTCCACGCGCGGAATTCCCCCGTCTGGAAGGAACCCCCCGTGCCGCTGCCCAGAGCTGCGCGGGGCTCCCACCCACTCCCCTTTTCCCGATCCCGGTCCCGATCCCGGTCCCGCCGCGTCCCCGGCGCTCACGAGTCTCCCAGGAAGTCGTGGAAGCGGATGCGGCCCTGCGTGGTGTCCGCCTCGAAGTTGGGCGCCTCGTCCCCCAGCAGCAGCCCCGGCATCGCTGCGGATCCCGCCGGTGCTCCCGGTATTCCCGGTATTCCCGGTGTTCCCACTGCCCTCCGCTCGCTCCCGTGGCCGCCCCTGCGCCTGCGCGCGGCCTCCGCCTCCCGCGGGCCACGTGAGCGGCGGGCACGTGACGGCCCGGGGCGGCCATGGCGACCTACGTGAGCGAGCTGGAGGCGGCCAAGAAGAGCCTGAGCGAGGCGCTGGGCGAGAACGTGAAGCAGTGAGTGCCCCCCGGGCCGTGCGGGCCCCGCCGCGCTGGGTGGGAGCTGTGCGCTGCGCGGCCCCTGCCGAACGCCGGCGCTCCCGGGGCTGGGAACAGCGGTTATTCCCCCTGGGCCTGCGCTTTCCCCTGGAAGTGCTGAAGGAATGGCACTCGGGGCCGTGCTCTGGTCGGTGTGGGGGCTGTTCGCTCCTAGGTTGGAGTCGGTGATCTTTTCCGGGCCGGTTGATGGTGTGATTCCCCGCTCTTCCCCAGGTACTGGGCCAACCTGAAGCTCTGGTTCAAGCAGAAGATCAGCAAGGAGGAGTTTGACCTGGAAGCGCGCAGGCTCCTCACGCAGGATAACGGTGAGAAGCCCGCTGGTGTTTGTTTCCCTGCCGGGCCCGGGGGAGCTCCTCCCTGCGGCACGATCCCCAACAGGGACCGTGCTGGGAGGGGAATGGCCAGGGTTCAGGTAGCAGTGGCGTTAAAAGGCTGGAGGTGCCCTGACCTGCATGGGGAAGTGCCCTGGCACTGACAGGCAATTTGGCCTTGTGTAAATATGGTGAAAAGGTAAAAAAAAGGTGTTCCACTCACTAAAACCACACTCTTTTATGTCACTGTGGAGTCCCAGTCCTTTCTGTACTTTCCCTTCGGTTTGGACTGAACTGGTGGTGTGGCTGAAGTGCGGCAGGGAATCCCAGATCCACCTGGGTGAGTTTGCAGCTGGCAGGTCCTCCCTGGCCTTTGGGAGTGGCAGGTGGGAGTGCCAAAGGGTGAGATTCCTTCATCCTCCCCTATGCACAGGTCTGCAAGCATTGGGTGGGCATTGCTGAAGTCATTGTGGGGGTGTCCTGGCTTCCACATTCATGATCTCTGCAGGGAAGGGTATGAGTTTGGGATGCTCAGCCTCCAAAGAGGATCCTGTAACCTCTGATCCTGCCTGTTAAGTTCGCCTTCACTTTTTCTAGTGCATAACTACTCTGCTTCAGCAACCCTCTGCAAGGAAGCTGCCTTTTATCTAGAACTTACTTGACTTGACTTGAGCTTCCTGGGGGTGGCTCTTCCCGGTGGATTTGCCAGCAAAACCAACAGCCCTGCAGCCAGGTGTCTGCATTGCAGGAGGGACAGCTGCTCCTCCTCTGACTGGCTGAACGCACCAGATGTTTCATGCAGTGTGCTGGAGCACTGGGTTTGAGCGTGTGGAACACTGAGAAGCCACCCAGTTGTTGCCATGCTGTGTGTAGTATCAGTAGCATTTTTGTTGGTGTCCTAGTAGCAGACTCTGGGTCCAGCAGAAAAAAACCTCTCAAAAACACTTCTTGTGTTTGAAAGTTGTGCCACTGTAGCACTGGGGGGAGAACACAACTGTGGAGAAGCTTAGGGAAGTACTTTAGGATGGCTTTGAGGTGGTGCCTCTGGGCACTGATGTGCTACTAATGAGCTGTCTCTCTCTCTATGCAGTCCACTCCCACAACGATTTCCTCCTGGCTATTCTTACCCGATGCCAGATCCTGGTTTCTGCACCAGGTAAGTGTCAAAAAGCCTCATTAAACACTCAGCGTGCCCTGTGTGTGTTTGGTGGGATGGGACGGAGTACCCTGATTTTCTGAGCCTTAATATTCCTGGGGTTTTTGCCACACAGGCAAAAGGGTAGCAAAGTAGTGATCCAGCAGATTTCAGCAGAGATGCTTTCATGACTAAGCTGTGTGTGCTTGGTTAGAGCTGACGCTGGATGGCTGCCTGAGATAAGCTGGTTTGATTTCTGGATTAGGTGTCTGCTGTGAACTGAAGAGTAAAGGGAGGTGCAGCATTCTCTTTGATCTGCTTTGCTTACTGCTTCCTCTCTCTGAACTTGGTTCTTCTCGTTGCTGGGGATATAGTTTTGGAGAGCTGCATATTTCTGACTGATCTTGATTCCAAAGTACTTATCTGATACAAAAATGCTTACACTGAGCCTTGACTGAGCTATGGCCAATTAACCTTCTGCAGATAGTTAACGTTCTAACTCTGTAAGCGTCTAGAATAACATTTTAACTTTGTAAGGGTCTAGAATGGCTGTCCTCAAGGCTGCAAGGTGCGGTTTTTTTGGTGTTCAAAACAACTCTCGAACCCAGAGATGTGATAGCAGGGCAATTGAACTGCAATTCAAGATACAAAACTGCTGTGTAGTAACAGAGAAAATTGTTACAGCTCTCATGGCCTGAGACCTTCAAGATGAGTTTTTTGAGAAGAGAGATTACCAGTTGCTACGATACCTGTTGTAGCTAGAGGAAGGAAAAATGGAAAAAATTATGGTCCTTAATTATACCGTCTGTGCTAATTAAATGCTAATCTCCCCCACCTCCAAACTTGCTTTGTTTGTTCTTGATTGAACTTTGCGAACACCTTGTGAGTCCCAGACCTGTTCCCTTTGGGGATCTCCACTCACATAAATCAGAAGGCTTGTGTCTAAATCTTGGTGCTCCTTGCTTTTGTCTTAGAATGCTTGCAGCTGGATTATAAAAAGAAAGCACGAGTGATTGAAGTAGCTGAGTTAAATGAGGGGGGGGAGGGAAAGAGTGCTCGAGTTCTCTGATGGCAGTGCTGAGCTGCTGAGTATTGGGGTAGAGATCAAAACTCAGAGGTCTTGTTTCTGAGTGGCAGTGGTCAAGTCAGAGCCCATTAACTGAGGTAGAGGTTTTTTATTCCTGTGTGCATACTCTGTGCTTAACTGTATTAAATATCCTTTGTCTCTTTATCCAGAGAACTAGTCATGGCAGCTCTTTTGCAGCTCTCTGGTCAGGATTTGTCAGCAAACTCTCCCAGCTGTCCCCTTTTTCAAGGCCCTTTAGGAATGTGTTCAAGGTAGGAGCCCCAGCACAAAGCAGGGTGCTGCTCCACAGGTGCCTTCCATATGTTTATTATTTCCTGCCAGACCCTTTTGAACTTCAAGTCCTTGTGAGATCTTTTCCTCTTGTCCCATTGCAGCTTTCTCTTTTCAGGAGCCCTTGAAGAACCCCCTTCGCAGTGGTTCAGCAGGTTGGTGACAGCATGTAGTGGTGTGCCAGCTGGCCAGGATCCTTCCTGAGGGCTGGTCACCTCCAGGGCTTTCAGGCAGGCTTTGTTTGGCTCTGTGTCCAAGATTGCACAAGGCAGCTTGAGATAAGTCAGTTTAATAGTTTGTGAGTGTTCTTAAAGACACAGTTTAGTGCTCTGGAGCTAACAATCCCTTCTAGAACCTCCGTTTTGCTCTCCTCGGATCAGTGCAGCGTTTTCCAGCTATTTGGGACCTAATTTGTACTGAGATACCTCTCTCTGGGCCACTGACTGGTAGATCTATTACAGGCAAACTTTCCCTGCCTGTCAGCTGTCAGTGGATTTTACATGCAAGCCCAGGAAAGTGCAGTACAAGTGGTGTTAATGTCTAGATTTCTTCTTCCCCTAGATGCCAGTCTGACACCTGCTGTTTTTGTGTTGTGGTTTGTTTGTTTTTTCCCCTCTCTTTTTTTTTTTTTTTTTTTTTTTTTGTCCATATGAGAATGGAAAGCTAACAGGTTTTTATCTCCACTGATGTCTTTTGGGTAGAAGGTGTTTACGTCATGATTCATGGAAACAAGTAGCTTGAAAGAAGTGTGTTTGATGCACTTGGCACGCCATCACAAGGGGTGCTGATGCATGTACTTTCCACCTTTGTGTGAGAGAGACAAAGGGAAAGAACCATCCTTAAAATGCCGTTTTGTATTAAAAAAATAATTACGCGGTCAGTGTTAAAAGTATGCTTGATATTGTGGCATTTGGAATAGGAAACCTTGGGGAAGGTATTTTTAAGGAGCGGTTATAATGTCTGTTGAACCATGCTAACAAACCCACCTGATCCCAGTTTTACTGCCTCTTGTAGTAGTGGTTCCATCCGGGATTTAGGGGAGCACTTGGTGAATGTGACCCTTCCTGAGGACACTTTGCATTTTCCCCTCTCACCTGCTTTGGCCGGTGGTCACACAAACTTCAAATCCCAGTTCCACAGCTCGTGTGGCACGGGATGTTTAGGACTTGGTGGTGGAGAGGAAGTGCATTATCCCTTCTGGTGTGAAGGATGACCAGTTGCTTTAAGTTCCTGCCGGGCTCCCAGTGAGGACACAGCAGGATCCAGAGCTACCCTAAATTTGACTCCTCTGCCCTTTTGAAAAATGGGTGGTGGTGTTCCCTCTGGCAGCCACGTTTATGATGACACCCATAAATGCTGGAGTGGCACTAAGCTGTAGAATAGGTGGGAAGCTGTGAAAAAGTGCCTGAAGAGAGGAGTTTCACAGAAACATGCTATCCAAAACTAGAGTGCCTTAATGGTGATGTTAGTTGGCTATACCAGCCTGAGTGGGGTGGCACACTCCCCAGTATAAGAACATTGGGGTTTTTTGGTATTCTTCTCTTACCAGTATTTTTAGAAGTGCTTTTCTATCCTTTTATATCTGGGTGTTGTGGTGTAACCCCAGCATCTCAGCCCCACAGAGCCTCTCACTCCCACTAGTGGGATGGGGAGAAAATGGGGAGGGTAAAAGTGAGAAAACTTGTGTGTTGAGATAAAGAGAGTTTATTAGGTAACAGAAAAACCATGCATGCCAGCAAAGCAAACCATGTAATTCATTCACCCCTGCCCATGGGCAGGCAGATGTTCACCCATCCCCAGGACATCTGGGCTCCATCACACGTAACAGTGACTTGGGAACACAAATGCCATCACTCTGAATGTCCCCCCACTTCCTTCCACTTACCCCAGCTTTATATGCTGAGCATGGTGCCATGTGGAGTGGAATATCCCTTGGATCGGTTGGGATCAGCTCTCCTGGCTGTGTCCCTTCCCAACTTTTTGTGCACCCCCAGCCCCCTCCCTGGTGGGGTGGTGTGAGAGGCACAAGAGACCTTGGCTCTGTGCAAGTCCTGCACAGGAGTAACAAAAACATCCCTGTGTTATCAATGCTGTTCTCAGCACAGATCCAAAACACAACCCCGTACAAGCTGCTATGGAAAAAATTAACTTTATCTCAGCCTGAATCAGCACATTGGGACTTTTCTCCCCCCAAAAATTTCAACCAAGAGGAATTCCAGTTTAAATCCTTTCTTGACATTGCATGGACTTGCTCACTAAACTTGTCTTGTTTGTTGGACAGTTGCAAGCACTCAGGTTAACAAGGTTTCCTGAGTTAATGCATATCTTGCTTTGAACTGATACTTCTTTTCATAGCTAAATGTTAACAATAAAATTGAGACAATTGCAAGCGCTTGAGTTAATGATGGAAGGATTTAATTTATTTACCATTGATCTGGAGCCAACTAAAAAGAGATGGTTCAGTGACTTAGACTTGTGCTGGAATAATAGGACCATTTTATTGTATCAGGCCTGCTCACAGACTTTGCTTGAAGGGCTTCCAGCTGTGAGGTGGAATCAGATTCCTTGGTTTTCTACTTCTCTCCAGAAAGCTAGGAAGGGAGAAAAAGGAAGAAAATGGGAGTGTGAGTTGTTGGCAGAGGAGGGTCAGCAGAATATCTAACCAAACCCTTATCCTTGCAAGATTAAAACAGATAAACAACACAGCTGAAGATCAAATGCCCACACACAGCTGAAGATCAAATGCACAAGGGTGGGAAATGCACATTTCCTAGGCCCGGCTGCTTTTCTTTGTAGTGACTTTCCGTGTACCTTTGTCCTTTTCTCGTGCTGGTGAAGCACATTGGGAAAATCTGACGCGCTCTGGACTGGCTGTTGCCATTGTGATGGTGCTGTGCAGATGAGGCAGCTCTTAGAAACATGTTCTTATCTGTTGCTGATCTGTGAAGGCAGAGCAGCAGCCATTGCTGTGGCTTGGTAAGGTCTGATTTCTTTGCTTGCAAGGCTAAATAAAAGCTGCTGATATCCAGCGTGTCATTTGTGGCCAGGAAGGCAAGTACTGGTTTTCTTAGAATGCTACAGGGAAATTTTGCTTTCTTCATCTAGTGCAAGTCAGGCTTGCTAATATGAAAACCTGGAAAAGGAGCCAAAAAAATTCTGCTCTGGGCTCATTATAGTGGGAAATAGCAGATTGTATCTCACCTTCTCATTGCTCTAAACTTAGCCTGGCTAAATTCTTGTTAAATGTGCAGGTTGAGTATCAACTAATTGCGTCTTTCAGATCTACTGTGAAAGCCTAACTTTTAGTTGCCATTTAGTATAAAAGCTACTGTATTTTTTTTTAAGTATTTTAAAAGTTCAGACATGACTGTAAACTATTAATCAGATAAAATGGTGTTTTCTATTTCCATCTCCATCTGTTGCACTTTCCCTGGTCACACAGCAGAGGATACTGTCACAAGTGATGCCGTGAAGGAGCTGTGGGTGGGGTGGGGTGACATTGTGAGCTAGAGGTGTGCTTTTATAGAAACCTCTGGAATGGGACAGGTAATTTTAGTGTCTGTCCTTAACACATCTAATCTCCCCTGGCTAGAAGGGGTCTGAGCTGCTATGGAGGAGAAGAGGAGAAAGAAAGGACGCAGCTGCCAAGAACAAAGCATCTTCTGAGAGAACTAGCATTATTTTGATAAATCATAAGATTTAAGCCCCAAGATCTTGATAACAGGCAAGTGAGGTCTTTGAGATGATTATCCATGGTGCTTTCACTTGTCCCTCATTAGGGCCTCACCTGTGATGTAGTGATGAGTAGTGACACCAGCTTTATGATTTTTGGAGAGTTTTTATTTATTATCTTTTAATTTCTTATGATTGACCAGTGGATTTTGACAACAGTGTTTGTAGGCTAGTAATTTTCACCCATCTAATAGGATGTAGCTAAACTTCTTGGTAAACTTTTTTTTGTATAGGGAGAATGTGCCATCTGTGTGTGTGTAGGTTGTTTCTAATCCCTTCTTAGCAGCTGACCATTCAAAAACTTTACCTGAGTGCTCTAGTTTAGTCAGATCCCTAAAGTCATGTGTTAATTTTTTTTTCCATAGTAGAGAACGCTGTGCTTGTTCTCCAGCCGCGAGTGTGGGAAGCTCCCCATAGCCAAGGACTTCTCGCCAGCCTCATTGCTTACTATAAGCAGCACTGTAGTATAACTGTATTTATGAATTCCTGATTACATCAAATTAAGCATAGTTGGGAGAGCTGGGGGTAATCACACAGGCTGGTGTGAAGCTGGTGTGAGCTGTGGTAGCAGGAGAGAACCAGGACTGTCAGCACAGCCTGGCAGCAGAGTTCTGGCATCCACTTCGGAGGTGACTGAAACACTGAGGAGCAGAGTTGTCCAAGCTACCTGGAGGCAAACAGGGACTCTGCACAGGGCGTGCTCTGCTCCAGAGGAAAGGAGTGCTCCCTCGCGGTGCAAAACCAAGGGAGGAGGATGCTGGAGAGACAAAGCAGACGCTTCCTCTGTAGCCACGAGAGGGCTCTCCAGTCTCTGAGTTGCACTTGTTCGCTGTCAGCAAGTGCACGCACATCCAGTGATGCGTTCTCTTTAAACCCCGGTGTTCCTGAAGGAATTAATTGCTCACAGATGCTGTCAGCAGGCAGTTTGCTCAGCTGTCCTTGCCAGTAGCTGTGTGATTATCAGGATGTGGTTTGACCTGCTGTAGGTGTAGCTGTCAGACAGCATATGGTGGGCTTTGGAGTAGTCCCTTCAAGGTGATGTGACCAAATTTATTTGTTTATTTATTTACTGGTACTAAACAATAATCTTTTTCAGCTCTTTGCCAGTTTTGTTCAGTCACAAGCTCACTGGTCACTTTGGTGTCATCCTGCTGCTGGGCTCACTGGCCTGTGCAGTTCTTCCTGTAACTGTGTTCAGTGTAACAGAACAATCAGCTGTGATGATGAATAAGGGTCCATGGCAAAGCTTGCTGAAGTAGATGGAGAACTGTGGAGCTGGACTGCTCAATCCAGATGGTTAACAGCTGACATGATCCAGGAGCTGGTGGGAAGAGAATCCTCCTCCCGGAAAGCTCTTTATTATCTTCCTGATTGAATAAATGGCTTATTTCTTCCTTTTGGCTTTCCTTGGAGGCTCTGTTTATCCCTCTCCTTCTGACATGGGTTCTGTGTGGTGTTTGGACAGAAATTTCTACTTAAGTGATGGGTCATGAGTGAGTCAAAGCTAGCAGAGAGCTGACAACCGAAGAGGAGGGCTGCTAGAAGTGTTCTCCCCCCAGAAGACCTTCCTTCTGGCTGTTGATTTTGATTTGAGGCTTAGCTCAAATCTTAAGGTTTTTTCTGTGTGGACAGTTTTGTCCTGGTCCTAAATCAGCAACATCAATAGAGTGGATTTTTTTTTTCTTTTCAATTTATAGAAGGTGCTGGATCTCTGCCATGGCCAGGTGGTTCTGCAACTAAACCTGGAAAACCCAAAGGAAAGAAAAAGATTTCTTCGGTTCGCCAGAAGTTTGATGTAAGTGCCTGTGGTTCTCTTTACACATCTGCTGAATTCTTAAAGCAAGTGACTTCCTATTTATTCAGGCAGTCAGGCAGAATTCTGTGATTAGCTCTGTTATCGGAAATGTTGGAAGTAAGGTAGTTGTTGGGTGGAATGTTTGTAGGTCAAGTTGTTTCAGGGTGGAAAATGCCTTGCAAAGGTTGCTGTCTCGTGGTGGGTGGCACAGAAATGCACAAGATGCAGTTCACTTTGCAGTGAAGGCTTTGTGTGTCCACCCAGTACTAACACGTCTGTTCTGCTGTTTTTATGCTGCCAGACCAGAGTGGAGGGGGCCTCGTGTGACAGATTTGGGATGGGGCATTGTCTTCAACAGGCAGGGTTTGATAAGGTGGTTCAAACTGAATGAAAAGTGTGTTGAAAGGAAGATTGTCTGTCTCTTACTGAGCCAGATTTATTGGATAACTGAGCACATCTGATCTGGTTCAGCTCTCTGGCAAGCAGAAAACATGAACAAGCAGAAAAGACTCCAGCCCCCAGGTTTTTCTTGCTGGTTTATTCAGCAGGATTGCAGTTGGATGTATGGCAGTGCCATTGTAAAGAAAGAAGGAGGTGGGAATAGGGGAGAAAAGTGAGCATGTGAAACCTCCTGTTCCTATGAGAGAAGTGAGTTGGGCTCAGCCAAGTGGATACTGCCTTTCTAGGGACTATAATTGGGCACTGTGTATGTGTGCTTCAGAGACATGTGAGTCCAGCTGAAGGCTCACTGTTTTCAGAAATCGTGGAAATACTTTGCAGTGCTCACAGCTGTGACCTGAATTCTAATGGCAGGCTGTTACTGTTCTGTCTTAAAAACTTCACTGTAACTTTACAGTAGCGAGGAGATGAGAGTTTAAGAAGCAAGTTGTGATGTAGTGGAACGTATTTACTCAATACCCCAATGATACAGCAGATTTCTAGTGTGTGTTTATACACATGTTCAGGAATGCTTGGCGCTAAGTACTGTATTAAGTGTATGTTATGATGAACAGGCTTGTCTGTTACTAGTGGAATTCCTAAGTGGTGTGAACTTGGAAGTGCCTTGATATTTCCTAATGTTTCCCTTACTGGTCAGAATAATAGTTGTGAATGACCACAGGTTCATTCCAGTTGCCTTCTGCTCTCCCAGACCACATTCCTCTTGAGAGCTGCTTACAATTTGAAGGTCCTTTTGGGCATGTGGCTTTCCTGTAATGAAAGCATAAATCTTCAGAATTATGGGGAGGGAAACCTGCTTTCACATCAGTAGTGGGTGGATTGGTTTTTCACTTTGAGTTAAATGCCACACTGTCCTTTGACTAAAGCAGCCCCCCTTTCTCCCAAGAGGTGAGAGATCTGTTTTGCTGTATATTCATTGCTCATATTTAAAGTATGTGTTTGTCCTTGTTGCAGTCTCCATTTCAGAGCCACTGGATTTGTGGCTTGGAAAGCAGAGTGACAGGAGCTGTGGAGAGTACGTGATACTTTTTCCCTTGTGGGTTAAGGCCAAGTTCATATCTGGGCTCAAGGACCAATTATTCCCATCTGCTTTTGACTAAGGAGCCACCACAGGCATTCAGAGCTTGAGACACAATGCAGCAAGGGATTTATTCTGGAATGCATGTGGCCTGGGAAATGGGGGTTGCCACCTTGTGATATGAATTCCTGTTCTGTGGTGGGTTTTTTCCCTAAATAACAGAATCAGTTCTGAAAAATAGTCATAATCCATCTCAGAATCAGTGGCTGCTTAGTAACACAGCTCTGCTTAGTGAAAGTGCACAGGGAAACTAGATTATGAATTTCAGAACTGGAATTGGGCTAAGTTTAAAGCTTTAGAGGATGTAAGAGTCAATCACACAAATCTAGGGTCGTGGTTTTTAATCTTGATGGAAACTGTATTATTATTGTGTAAAAAGATACCCTTTTGTGCAAGAAATTACTAAATAGGTGAAAACACTTCAGCATAGAAGGTGTCTGAGAGATGTGAAAGTCCAGTCACCGGCCTGGATAGCATGAAAAGAGGCAAGGACAGTGGCTGACCACATCTTTGTGACTTCCAGGAGAGTCAAATGAATCTGTCAGGTGGGAGGTGCAGAGCAGACCAGGGCAGGTGCCTGTTCATGTGTTGTGTTTTTACACTGTGGAATTTCTTGCTGCAGTATGTTGAGGATACCCAAAGTTTAGGTGGTTTGGGGTGCTGCTGGACAAGTTCACAGTCTGTTTAATTAAAGGACACCAACACTGACTTAGAAACTTCTTCAGTCACAAATCAGTGGGGGTTGGGAGAGCATTCTGGGAAGTAGTATCACTCTGCAGTACATTTTTATAGCTGTGTGCTTTCTGACTGGAGAAGGGATGTCCCCTTGATGAACCAAAGGGTGTGTATGAATATTATCTTATGCTTTAACATTGCGTCCATGACAGCACCGGTTCCAGCCCCAGAATCCGCTGTCGGGAGCCCAGCAGTTTGTGGCAAAGGATCCTCAGGAGGATGACGATTTGAAGCTGTGTTCCCACACCATGATGCTTCCCACACGTGGGCAGTTAGAAGGAAGGATGATTGTAACTGCCTACGAGCACGGGCTGGACAATGTCACGGAGGAGGCGGTGACCGCGGTTGTTTATGCTGTGGAGGTGAGGCCGGGCTGGGCAGGGCAGCAGTTGTGGTCTGATACCTGCAGCCCAAGGCTGTCTTTCCAGTTTGGTGGCAGGGGGAGGGTGTGCCTCAATGTGGGGAGAAAACCTCCTTCTCTGATTGTTCTTTAATTGCCTGTTTGCCTCAGAGTTAGGTGAGGATCAAAACGCTTCCAGATTTGTGGTGTCCTAGAAGTCTTGGACTTCTGCCTGCAAGTGTTCATTTTGAAGTGCTTGCACATGTGAAGAACTCCGGGCGTGCTTAAGTAGCTGTTTTGGAAAATACTGTTCCTGTCACTTAAAAGAAGGGACAGAATGGGAGTGCCAGTTTGAACAGTTCTATAAAAAGTAATCCATTGCAGGCGCAAGTATCTGGCCTGGCCGTGAAGCGACAGGATCAGGTGATACCTGCAGGTGAAGCGCCTGCTGGTCTTGGCCATCAGTGCTGCATCACTTGGCCTGTCCCAGGAATGATACAGCCACTACTTGGAGCATTGGTGTGTGAATGGTTTTCTGCACATGGGATGTGGAGGCCGACCCGAATTCCCTCTCTGGGAGTGAGGCCAAATTAAGAAGTTGTCTGCTTGTTTCTTCAGACGGTTGCTTCTCCAGCACTTTTCAGGCAACTGAACAAGCCTGAGTGTGAGTGGCTTTTCACTGTTGTTTCAGGGCCTGTGTTTCAGTTCAAGTGTAACATCTAGTGTCAAATTATGAAATCTTAACCTTTTATCAGAGGAATCAGAGGTTGGGAATTACCTGGCATTTAAGAAACCCCTTTGACATTTGAAGCAGCACATCACGTATTAAAGTACAGTTCACAGGCTGATGCTTACAGTACTCCCACAAACATACTGTAACCTGTTCACATACTGGTTCCCTTCCATCTTTAGGTCCCTGTGGTCATAGCAGCACTGTTTCCGTCTTGCCAGTTGGTGAGGCACTTCTAGCCACGAGTGAATCAATCAGCACATGCAATAAGATTGTCTTCTGTTGCAGAACCATCTCAAGGACATTCTGACATCCGTGATCTCCAGGCGGAAAGCCTATCGTCTGAGGGATGGCCATTTCAAGTACGCCTTTGGAAGCAATGTCAACCCTCAGCCGTATCTGAAGAACAGTGTTGTTGCTTATAACAATTTAATTGAGTGGTAAGGAGCTAATTTAAATGAATTTTGCCAGTCCTGAAGTTACTCTGTGGTTCAGTTTCTCCTTTTACTTAGTAGGATGTGTTGATGGTGTTTACCTTTCACACACTAGAAAGGTATTGGCATAGAGGACTGTACAGCTACACAGGGAGGGAGAATAGGGGGATTTCTCAGCAGTAGACTTTAAGATGGTGTTAGGTCTCTCTTCCTTACCTCTCCTTGTCCATCAGTTTATTTATTATGGCTTTTTGGAAGCTTTAGTAACAGAGTTTTCAGCAGCAGTTTCTGCTGCTCTCAGGAGACTGCCCCTGGGCAGAAGAGCCCTGCCTTTGGCGGGGGCACAGCTGTTGTGCCATGGGATTGAAGTGTCAGTGAGAACCTGCAGGACACTGCCGTCCTGTCATTCCTGCATCCAAATGTATTTATGGTTCTTTGGCGTGACTTTCCAGTTAGCAGAGCTTTCAGGGTCATTGTGTTTGGAGTCTCAATGTCGAACAGCTTGTGCTGTGCATCTGACAGCATGTGTGTGTATGAGAAGGCAGTTGTGTTTGTCTGTGGCAGCTTCCAGCAGTTGACAGGAGGTCATGAGTGTTTTCAAGTTTGATTATAACACTGCAAACAACTCTGCCTAACAGCCAGTGCTTCAATTTAATGTTGTGCATGCCTTAATTTGTATGCTGGGTAAAAACTACTGGCTGTAAATAACAAAAGTTGCACAATTGAGATCAGTTAAACAGGGCTGAGGCATGCTGAGGATCAGTCTGCGCTGTTTCTGATAAACTGGAATTTCTATTAGAGCTGAAAGAATTTTATGTACACATGGTTTAAGTCAACTGATACAGAAAAGCAAGCCCTGGGGCCAGGCCCCCGCTGTGTGGCTCCCAAAGCGGGTGCTGTTTTGGTGACTGGAATGTTTTCCCACCTGCTCTGCCCTCAGCCCTCCCAGCAGCGCGACACCCTCGGCTGGTCAGAGCCTGGCCCCCCAGCCCCCTCCTGACGATGCTGAGCAGCAGGCAGCCCTGCTCCTGGCCTGCTCTGGGGACACCCTGCCAGCCTCCCTCCCGCCAGTCAACATGTACGACCTTTTCGAGGCCTTACAGGTGAGTTGATTTCTCCCCTTTCCCTCTCAGATTTACAGTTCTTTGCCTTTGATTTGTTCCCGCTGTTAGGTGTTGGGTAACACAGCTCATGGTTTAATGCCTGTTCTGCTCCCCCTGGTCAGAGGGCTGAGGAAGACATCCTTGTCTCACAGCTATGCAGGAAGGGTGAACTCTTCCTCCACACCAAGACTGCAGTGATTATATCAGAACTGATCTAGACAGATTCTGACAGTGCTGCAGCAAAATAACTTGCCTGGCATTTCCCTTCTTACTCTTCGTGTCCTACCTGGGTACTTAGAGGAATATTTGGTCTTGGCATGCAGGTTCCTGCAGTGGGTTAGCTATGGTCGCTCTCATTATATCTGAGGTAGGCTAGGTGAATCTTCAGTGGAGATTATACCCGTGGTTCCCTCCTGCTCTGGCAGCACTGGGGACATTGAGACTGCTTTGGATGTCTAAAATTTGCTGTGAGAAATTCCCCCTTGATGATCTCTGCTGTTGTGAACAAGCCTTGGCATTTTGTCTCACAGCTGTGAAGACAGACCACAGAGCTGTAATCAAACATTCATCTCGTGTTTAGTCAGATGGAATTGTTGTTTCTAAGGGCTTGATGACAAATTACTGCTTGTCATCCCAAGAGCAAAACAATGATTTCCTTAGCATGCTACTCCCTTCCAAAGTGGTGTAACAGGTGGTTGTGCTGTGGTGGCTGGTGTGGCAGGGCTGGCACTCGCAGCATCCTGTGGTAGAGGGGGGTTATTCCCTGGGCAACATAAGGAAATGTGGATGAAAGCATGAAACTTGTTTTCTGACATCTATTTCCAGGTGCACAAAGAAGTTATTCCTGCACACACTGTCTATGCTCTAAACATCGAGAGAATTGTCATGAAACTCTGGCATCCAAACCATGAGGAGCTACAGCAGGATAAGATCCATCGGCAGCGCCTGGCAGCAAAGGAGGGCCTTCTCCTCTGCTAGAGCTGGGCAGCTGTGTCAGCCCTCAAGGGCTGCAGCCCTGGGACTTGTCATTCGGGTGCTTCTTAAAAACCCATGTCAGCATTTCAAGGATGACATAAGTTATGAGTCTGCTTTTCCTATGGAAATATGACTGAGTTGTGGGACACTTTCTCTGCTTCCTCAGGGTCACGTGCCATGCAGTACTTGCAGCAATCCCACTGAATTGGAAAGGAGCAGCAAGACATTTGTTTGCGAAGACTGTTTTTAGTAAAAATAAATGTGAGTGGAAAAAGTTGGTTTTAAATGAAGTGTGCTTTTGTTCCTTTTGTGAGAGTGGGAAATCTGTCTCCTTGCCCTCCCCTCTCAGGTAGCTTCTCTCCTGAGCTCACACTCCAGGGGCCTTGTCCAGCTTCTGTTGCACCTGTTGAGTTCCTATTCCTTTAACTGGTAGCAGGGTGGGCTCTTTTGAAGACAAACAACTCTGTAAGCTGACAGTGTTCCTTTTCTACCAGAGGGACTTCTGGTTAGAAACTGAGAAAACAAGGCAAAATTGGAAAGGTCCTTTCCAGCCTGTCTTTTGGACTGTCACAGGAATCTCTCACCAGTTAGCAAAACACACAGTAAAATCAGGCTTGTGAGTAATATTTTCCTACCAGCCTAGTCCTTGACTCACCCATGCCTTGTAGTAGTGATCAGATGTTTAGCAGTTGTTGGACCTGTGATGAGAGGCACCTTCTGTGCCTGTCAGTACAGGTAATGATGGAGCCATCCCAGCAGGCAGCCGGACTGTCCCTGAGGTGGGACAGCAGCTCCCAAATACATATACCAATTCACTGTCTTGGTGTTGGAGACTCCTTGGATTTACAGCCTGAACAAATCTCTCATATTACTTCTTTGTAAAAATATGCAGCCTTTTATTACTTCATCATAAAATTATGCAGCTTTACCCTGTGTGTAAAAGGAGAAATGCCACCTGCTGGGTTTAACGTGCTCTACTGTATTCCTGAGTCAGCTGTGGGAACAGGGTAATTATAACATGAGAATTCTCTTAAGATATCTTAATTACTATATGACCTGTTTTTAACCTCAGGTATGGAGGTACCTGCTGAAGTATGGCTTACTGTGCCTCCAGACAGTGGAATTGAAACAGCTTCTGCTGGGGGAATATGAAAGGGGAAGCTCATAACTCCCTGCTGTTCTAATTTTCCTCTGTTTGGAATATATTTAATTAGGACAGCTTCATGTTTCCTGCGTAGTTTCACTCTCTGCTGTGCCCCCAGGATTGAAGAAGGTGCAGGTCCCTGGTGTTTCTTTCCAGTTATTGTTATTTCATAACTTCCTTTCTTGATCTCTGTGACTGTTCCTATGTGACCAGCATTGTAACGAGGGGCTGTGCAGCTCTCACTGTGTTCCTGGCTTTCCTGCATCCCCCTGTGGGATGTGCTGTGGAGTTAGGAGTAGCACGAGGCAGTGTCTGGGCAGATATTGGTGGCTCTCTTCATTAGAAGACCATTTTAGGATTATGAAGAAGCTGGGAAAGACAACAGCAGAGAACTGCAGCAGGGCCTGGCAGGATGAGAGCAGTTGTACTTGTAGGTCATGTCTCTTAAGGTCTGGTAACATGTGGGTAAGAGGGGAGTGGGAGAGAGAAGATGGAAGATTTCTTTTTGTCCTGTTCTTTCAACTGCTTTGTTTTTCTGTATTTAAGCACACACAGCTGTTCATGGTGAGCCCTGGCTTAAAAGTTGACCCAGTGGCTTTTACATGACAGTTTTCAAAAGCAGTGTTGAACCCGAGTAACTCTTTGGGGTGAGATCACCAAGCCACCCAAAATACAGACTGCATGGTGTGGGAGGGAGATTTCCCAGATAATTGTTATGCTTCTGGTGTAAAATGAAAGCATTAAATTTGTTTGCTAGAAACTTTGGGGCAGCTCTGAGGATTTCAGATCTGCAGGAAGCACACAGCCCCCGACAGCATCACAGGCGAGTTCTGAAACAAATGCTAAGTATTGGCACCAAAGTGCCTCTCTCCTGTTTGTATGTGCTGGTTTGTGTCTTCTGAAGAGCCAAGTCATCTATTCCACACTAAAAAAGTGGGTTATTCCGTACACCTGCTAGACAAAGGCTTGAATAAGGAAATCACATCAACTCCATTTCACAGATACAGAAAACTGAAAGGCACAAGTTCTTGAAGCAGCTTCCCACAAAGTGTGAGAGGTCTCATGGGAAGTGGTTCTTCACAGGCTTTTCGGGTCATGGAGCTGGAAGGGATGGCTGGAGGCTGCTTTGGCCACCCCCTGCTGAAAGAAGGGTCAAGTTCAAAGTTACAGCAGGTTGTTTTCAGAGAAGTGGTGCCACTTCCAGTTCCAATGTGTGACTCTGCTGACAGTGAATGTTTTTCTTGCATAATTTCTCATGTTGTGCCTGTTGCCTTTCAGCTTTTTCCTATGTGTCTCCCTATCAGAGAGCAGCAGATAACTGTAGTATCTCCCTTTAGCTTCTCTCCAGCCTGAACAAACCTGTTGCTCTCAGTTTCTCCTTGCACACTGTGTGCCCCAGCCCAAGCCACCTCCCTGTTGCTGCAGTCTGATGTCATCAGAGAGGAGAGGACTGAAGGGACCATCGTGGGCTTGTTTGCACAGCAGCAGAGTTAACAAAGTGTGCAAAGTCACAGGCACTAGTGTATGCCTGCCTCAGGTGTCCAGAGGTCTTTGCTCACACTGAGATCAGGGCACCTCAGCTGCCTTTATGGCTTTGCATCTTCTGCCAAGCTCTGTCAAGTGTCCTGGGCAGCCCCACGCAGGTGAGGCTCCAGAGGGGTTGTGTAGCAAAGACAGGAGCATGGCACATGTGTCTTCTGGGTCAGGCACAGGCTCCTGGCCACCACTGAGCTGTGGCTGTAGCCTACCTGAGCTCTGAGTTTGATTATGATCTTATGTCCTGATTAGATGATTAGTTTCCTTTTCTAGGTAAAAGAAAGTGGAGACAGCATGGAGTTATAACTGGACAGAAAACTTGTGTGAGAGTAATCTTTCACCAAGAAGTGTATCCAAGTGAATTTTCATGTAGAATTTTTTATTCATTTCTTGCCAGGAAATCAGCCTGTCTTTCCAGATAACATCTGGCCGATGGTTTTGTTACTGCAGCCTGCCTTCAGTCTGAGGATGCTTGTGTGGAGTATTGGAGGCCTGGGCTTAGACTCTTGTTCTGCCTGAGTGCCACTGAAGTGAGAACAAAATGTTCCTGCATTGGAGCAGCGCAAGCTGCTCCTGGAGCCTTGACCTCCCTGCAGTGGGTACAGTGTGTGGAAAAAAGCTGAAAACTGCCAGGGCAGTGAGTGTTTGTGGCTCTTTGTCAGTTCAGCCCTTGGGTAAGCCATGGAGGAATCACCTCTGAGGAGGGCTCCCTCAGGAAGGTGGCAGGCATCAACTCGGGGCTGCCCTGCCGGGGGGGTGTTGGTTATCATTAAAGAGTATCGTTTCCATTTCAATCTCTCAAACCAGTTTCCCGTCGATGGGTTTGGTTGTGCCATTGTTAATTGAAATCTCCCACAATCAGATAATCTGCTTCTGTGCAGTGACAGTTTCACTTCTGAAACTCCACTGTGATGAGATGGATGAGCGGGAGCTGGGGCCGCTCTCGGCTCACAGGAAGGGGCTGCCCGTGGAGCAGCCTGTAACCTCTTTGAATCCTTTGAAGGATTTCAGACCGTGTTTTGCAGTGTGTCAGCTGAGTCCCAGCAGACATGTCTGAGCAAAGGCCCCTTCCCCTTCTCCTTCCTTATTCCTCTCTCTCACATCCCAGGAGGTGATTTGCCTCTGGCTGAACAGTCTTCCCTGGCATTTCCTCAAGTTGTTATCCTGCCAAAAGTAATTAGAGAAAAGCCTCCTTTTCCTCTTTCTGTTTCACTGAGGGCTGTGAAGGCTGTAGGGAACAGCCTCCCAGACATTTCTGTTTATATCTCAGACAAATGCTCCAGAGGGGTTTGGCAGAGCCAGCAGAAGGTGCTTGTCTGTGGGCTGTAGTCTGTGAACTGTAGGCTTGATTTTCAGATATTAATATTTTGTTGATGTAATGTTGGTGAGAGCAGCTATTCTGCTTTTTTCTAGAGCAACATATTCCATACTTTTTTCCACTTGAAACTGATTTCTTACTAAAATGACATTTTCCCACCAGAAAGAAAGCACAAGGCAGCTCAGCCTGCTTTATTTTTTCCTTTGCCTCCAACCTCTCAAAAAGTATTCATCACAAGTTTGTTCAAAATTGTCACATCTGTTATTTAACTCTACTAAATAATAACTTCATAATAAATGGCTTCAGAATAATTCTTATCCACTCTCTGTGTTCCTTAAAGACAGGGAAAGGGGGAGCAAAGGCATGGCTTTGTTCCTGTGCTCTGGGAGTGCCTGGGTGCAGGTGCAGCCCTGCAGTTCTGCAGATAGCTGAGAGCTCACACCAGGGGCTTGGTGCTGCAGGGTCATTAACAGGTTCTCTCCTTTCTCAGCTGCTGGAGATTTATCTTTATGAATTCCTTCTGCTCTGCAGAATGTCTCAGTTGGACTCCCTGGATTTCCCTGGAGCCTGTGAGCAAGGGGTGAATGAGAGCTGGGCTGGGCCTCCACCTTAAGCAGTAGATGCCACTGTGGTGGCCCCTTTTCTTCCAGGACATCCATCAGGAGAGGAGGGATGCCAGGTGAGTCTCTTCCCCTGAGTTAGGGACACAGAGCAGAACTTGCCTTGGTGTCCCCACAGGGAGCCATCCTGGGGGGACAGCAGCTGCAGTTCAGAAAACTCTTGATGTTGATGGTGCTAAAAGGGGAAAAAAAAAAAAAATCAAGTATTTACTCTCCTGCCCGAAACCAGCTTGTACACCCCGATGTAGCAAGTCATAAATCATGTTAGCAGAGAGACAAAGAGCTTGTCTTTGCCTCTAGGGCAGCAGGGCCCCGTGCAGCACATCCCTGCGTGGTCTCAGGCTGCCCATCTCTGTGTCCTGCTGCTGCCACGAGCCACAGCACTGCCTGTGGCTGCCGGGCCTCACCAGCAGGGCTGGGGTGCAAAACCACATGTGGGGCAGCCTGTGCCCCGCCACGGTTACTCTGCCAAGGCATAGCTCTCTTCACACACTGGAGGAGGGAGTTCTGCTGCGTGTCCCCACGCCCCTGTGCTCGCACTGGCTGCGTTATCCCACCACTTGGGCTCTCGCAGTTTCACTCCTGCCGGCTGCGAAAGCCGGTGGCGCTGACGCAGTCACACAGAGCTTGTGCCGTACCCCAGCACAGGCATCCTGTTTCCAAAACAGCTGGTTGTCACCCTGTGCTTTTCAGTGTTCTTGTTCCCCAGGGAAAAAACGTGGGGAGTTCAAGAACCAGGGCAAAAAGGGGTAGATCGGAAAGGGAGGAATATTACTTCCCTCTTTTTTTTTTTTTTTTTTTTTTTTTTAAATTAGAAATTTTGAAAGAGGCAGTCTGGGAAGCAGACAGAAAGGAATGGCAGAACCTGGTCTCCCAAGCCCAGGCAGTGTCGAGGGCAGCCTTTGCTCAGCTGGCTGGGTGCAGGGATCTGTGTGTAGTTGTGCAGCAGCTCCTGTGGTTTCCTGACACTGTGACCTCCACCCACTGCAAAGGGTGTGGGAATGGCTTGGGAAGCCCATTGCCACCACTAAGACTTCACCCCCACGCACTCCCTGATGGAACCTCTCTGCTGCCTTTTCCTGGAGCTTCCCTGCAAAGCACAGCCTGCAGGGTATGATTTAGGATATTCTCCCAGATGAAATCCCTCAAACCAGCCTCATGGAGCAGGCACAGTCTCTGCCAGAGGGACGTATGAGTGCCTGGTGAGGCAGCTGCACCCTCTGACCTCATGGTTTTACAGGCTTCAGCTCCTCTCGCCCCACTCGGACAGTGGCGGGGCTGATTTGCGTTATTTGAGTCTTCAGGACACCCACGGGTGGAAAAAAACAAACGAGGCAAAGACAAAGACCCGGTAGCGCACACAGGCACACTGCAAAACCACCTGAGCACAGCCCAGCCATTGCTGGTTGACAGTTTTTGGTGGCAAATGCCCACCGTGCTCGTGCGTTTCACAGGCTGCTGCTCGGCCTGGCTGTTCCCTCTGGCATAGTAGTGTTATGACTAATTTCCATCTCCCGAGGACTCGGCGTGCAAGATAGTGGATGTATTTGCAGCTTTGGCATTGTAGAGAACAAGTCCATGTCCTGAATCTAAACTGGCCTCCTCCACATCAGTGCTCAAGGGAGGGCCTGACCCTGCACACTGCTGGTACCATTAAAGGCTAAAGTTATGCATTCACAGCCAAAAAATAAAGGAATAAAGCACACAAAGGCTGAAAAGCATCGTTAATACAGAGCAGCCACAGCTGTCTGAAGATCACACTTTGAGATACTGAGTCCCTCATGATATGAACCAAACTTTGCTATTTCTTTTTTAGTTGTTAACTAGTAGATATAAATAGACAGTCTGATAAAGCAATTGCATTGTGAACCCTGTAGGCTTGCTTAATCTTTTGTTTTAAAGCAGAGGGAAGACAATCCGAACAGGAATGGGTCATCTGGACAACAGCCACCTGCTGTGAAGTCAGCAGGACTGAGCAGTAACTGTGTGAAAGGTAATTCCAACAGCAGAAGATCATGATCACCACCACAGTAGGCTGGTGATGGGTCTGGCTTGTACCTAATGACATCTACAGTGACCCCAAGGGACAAACTCCCAGGCTGGGGGCTGCTTGGGGCCCATGGATGTCAGCTCTGTCTCTCTCACCCCAGAGAGGTATTGGCATTGCTGGCATCACCATCTTTGTGCCTGCCTTGCTGCCCCTTGGCCAGTGGTTGCTTCTTCACCCTATGTGCTGCCAGTTGCCATCGTGCCAGATGGGCTCCCAGAGGATCCTTGTGCAGCCTTGTCACCTGTGATGGCTCAGGGGCTGCCGGCAGGTGGTCCTGACCTTGCAGCACACAGGGACGTGCCCCATCTTGCAGAAATGACACAAAGGCATAAGCTGAGGAAAGGAGCAGCCTCCCCAGTGCCTAAAGGAGGCTCAGGCACTCTCCCAACATGCAGCCCCCACCCAAGCCCACACTGGCTCCTGGGAAAGCAGTGATGACAAATGGAGCCACATGCCCTGGATGCCGTGTTTGTGCTGGCTCAGCTGGCTGCAGTGGGGACAGGGAAGGAGCTGGGATGAGCTTGCAGCCAACCAGGCTGCCGGGATGCCTGTCACGTTCACTGGAGAGTAGCATGGGCATACCTGTCCTCCTGCAGCAAAGGGGGAGCCCAGAACCTCATGTGGGACATCAAAGCAGCTGAGGAATGCACACAATGCAAATGAGCCATACCTCAGAGCTGGTGCTTAACCACAGCTGTGCCTCTGCCTCTGCTGGGGGATAAGCCAGTGGGTCCTTTTCTGAAGCTTCTTGCTTGAGCTCAGAGGTGCTCATGGTCTACACTCGGCTTTTGGTCCCACCATCAGGGCAGAGGTGTCAGGTCAGGCATGGAGACAGCATTGTGGAAGCATGACCTGCATGGTCCTGAGGTATTGATGGAGACTGGGAGAGGAACAGGCAAATCACGACTCCCATCAGTTCAAGGACACAAACTTTGCCTCCCTGAGCACTTCATGGCTCTTGTTTTTGCTACTAGTAAAAGGGAATATGTGACAAATGGAACCATGAGCCTGACTGCCCAAATACTAGATTGTCCAGGCAATGGAGGAGCAGCTTGGCACTCCCAGAGACTGCTCACTCACTATCTGCTCTAATTCATATTCCTGTAGTTGTTTTTTGTTCTGATGCTGAACTCAGAGGAAGCTCAAAGACTATTAGTCACAGCTTCTGCTTTCTGGGATTTTGATGTTTTATTTGTTAATGTTTTCTGAAAATGGTAACCGCAGGGGAAAATGTGGTCCCTAGCCAGGGGCTGAGCTGAAGTGGCTTGGATAACTTTGACCATCAGAGTTTTTTATAAGAACAAGGTTTCCAGTTCCTGCAGAAATATGTCCTTTGTCTTTTGCTCCTTTCTCTGCTGGGCAGGCATCAGTGCTGTGGGGCCAGGCTTGCCCCATGGCTGGGCAGTGAGAGTACCATGTCACCACAGTATCCTGGGGCACGAGCATGTCCTGGCCACGGGTCTGTTTCCTGTCAGTGTCACGGGTGAGAGGGAGCAGCTGGAGCTGCTTTTCAAACTGAAACGGGGGCAGTAGGGAAGCACTAAGGATTTCTTTCAAAGAGCAGAGCATGGAGACGTGTCTGAGGCATGTTGGAGACATGTCTGAAGCATGTCTGAGGCACATTTGCTCCCTTGGCAGGCTAATAATGCTGCCTGTTGCCTTGTGCTGCCTGCTACAGTGGAGCAGGAACAGGCTGCCCCGACTTGTTTAAAGTCTGGAGAAATCCAGGGCTGAGGAAGCAGGAAAAAGTGCACCTGCTGTCAGCTCTGCAGGAAGAGGCTGTGGGCAGTGTCCATGCCTTTTGGAGGGTTCACAGGGAGCTGGGGCTCTGGCAGGCAGCAGCTGTCCCTCCTATGGCACAGATGGGGGTTCTGAAAGCCTCCTTTTGCCGTACTGCCCAGCTGGGAGAGGGGACTGAGCCTGTCCCTCTGGAGCTGGTGAGTTCCCCAAGCTGCAGGTGTCCTTGCTCGCAGCAGCAGGCCCAGGGTTTGTCACAGCTGGCCACAAAGGGAGAGGAGAGGGAGGGAGTGGCATCACTGAACAGAGGGGGAAGTACTGGGCTGCACAGCCCGAGCATGACTGCCAAGAAGCAGTCGCTTGGATGCTGATGCCACCTTACATCTCCTCACAGCCCCTGTGGCCAATGTCTCCTCTCCACTGTGGGCACGGTGGGATCATCACCTATTTATTGTGTGCAGCTGAATGGCCACGGTGCCGTGGGCCAGGTGTGGGACCAGCTCGTGCTGTGCTGCTGTGTCAGACTCCATGCCTCTGTGCATGGGTCTTTTGGAAATCCCCTGGCACCTTAGCTAACCCATGGTGGCTGTGTGAGCCTGGTGGGGGTTGAGGCTGGAGGATAAGGGAGATGAGGGATGGCTGGGGCTGCCACACAGCTCGATCTGTCGGGGAAATTCCTTGGCAGTTTAGCAACATCTTTGCAGCACCCTTATCTGTGGTTTCCTGCACACTTCAGAAGTGACTTTTCTATTTAAAGGACATCATCTAAAGTCTAATTTCTTCCTGGGATCACCAGGCAGAAACCCATTGCCCTTCAAGCACAAAGGCTGATGCATGTCCTTGGTGTGTCCTGGTCCCCACTGGCCCCCAGCTAAGAGCTTGCCTGGGGAGGGGATCCAGGGGGTCTCACTTGGCACAACAATGCTGCTTTTCCTCTTGTTGGGCTGGGCTCAGTGAATTACATGTCCATGGAATTACGGAGAGGATTCATCAGTGTCTGGGTAAAGGAGATCTTAATCTTTATGTGCCCCTTCCTCTAGTGTTTTTTTCACAGAATCACAGAATCAATTATGTTGGAAAAGACCTCTGAGAGTCCAACCAATGGTCCAACACCACCATGTCAACTAGACCATGGCACTAAGTGCCACATCTGGTCTTTTCTTAAACATCTCCAGGGACGGTGACTCCACCACCTCCTCAGGCAGTCCATTCCAATATCTAATCATCCTTTCTGTGAAGAAATTCCTCCTATCACCCAACCTAAACCTCCCCTGGTGCAGCTTAAGACTATGTTCTCCTGTCCTGTCATTAGTAGCCTGGGAGAGGAGGTCGACCTCCACCTGGCTACAGCCCCCTTTCAGGTAGTTCTAGAGGGTGATAACGTAACC